CACACATATCCATATCGTATATGTAACTTTTGCAGAGATCACAGTTCGGAACATATTAAGCTACAAAGCATCTACACCATCCTCTAAAATAGAGTACATACAGTATATAGTATAACATAGCACATATATACTAAAATAAACCCAGATATTGCTAGCTTTTAATACCATCACTAAGAGTAACATAGTTTTCGATACTCAACTGAAGCGGCGTAAGCACCGCCCCCTAGCTCCTACTTGCCCAGGGGACCATTTAAGTAGGTCACGGCTCCATGGTATTTGAGCACCTGCAGTGCATAGATGCAGAACCGCATCACTAGGCAAGGCCGAACAAGGGCCTATTCGGACACCTGCAAATACGCCACCATCCATAGGCATATTTATAAACAAAAACAGAACCCTATCTTATGGGTTTGCTAGTATACTGTTAGCTATCGATACCGCCGCTGAGATATTTATTCTTTATAATTTTCGATACCGGAATGAGTAAAAACTAGCTAAATGCTACCAAACACCCTGAAAGGAAAAATTCATGTTTTGCAGAATAACCACTTTAAATGCCACGAGCAGAGCGACAATTCTGAAAGTCTGCAGCATAACTCTTCCATTCTTCGTTAGTGCTGTATATTTTAGGTGGAAGAATATCGTGTATTAGGCATGCCATATTTGACATTATCAAACAATGCCATTGCGCGAAAGACTTCAATACGGTAAAAAGAGCAACCTACTTCGCAAGAGCCACCAGATCGATGTTTTTGATGTCGAAAACGCTTTTATCGCTGAACAAGAAAACAGAACGGATGTAGGCAACGAAACTCTGAAAGAAATCACCGTGTCGCATGATTCTATGTCTAACTCATATTCGAGCAACTCACCCTCTGTGCAAACGTTTTCAGCTCAGGGAACTTTGCGCACAAAAATTCCAGCTTCTTGTGGACGCTGGTCAGACGGGAGGGGTCAGCCCTGAAAGTAATAATATTATTAGCAATCACCGATAACCCGAAGTGGGGAAAGCAAGTCAAAGGCACACCTAATTTCAGAGATGGGAATCCTTATTTCTTCCAACTTCTTCAGCATCGATTCCTTTTGAGCAGATGTCAAAACCAATAGCGCATGTCCGCCACTTTTGTACCGAGCCGTTCGACCGCATCGATGTATATACTCTTGAACATCTGATGGGCAGTCCATTTGTACAACCCAGTCAACGGCAGGAAAATCTGCAAGTGGTAAATGACATAAACAATTCAAATTCAAATATTTGTTAAATGTCGCTAAAAACATCTAACTCTATCAGCTGTAAAACATAACCATTATGAAAATACATTCATAAATGCCATTTAATACAAGTCGAAAAACTGTTAGGCTTAGAGTGAATCGACTGGATCGTTGTTACAGAGCGATTTTAACATTACACAAGGAAATATCTAGCTGAGTGGAGTTCGGGAATTAGATTTCCGTAGTAGACGGAATCCAGGTCCAGTTACGGTAGTGGAGTTGGTTTCAACGTCTCAAGGGATGAAAGAAAACAATTAACTTATAACTCAGGGCATACCTTGTCATAGGTGATGGTTCAGTGCTCTTAGAAGTAGAGCCCGATGGCGCACTACAACCAGGTTAAACGCTGGGGGGATCATCGACAAGTGAGAAAAAAAGGAACTGGCGTAGCGCCATTCCTACTGCTAGGAATTGGTGCAGTTCTGCTTTTCTCGACATCGGAATTTCTCAGGCAAGTTGACAACCAGACAAATATTTCAGACGGTCAGAGAACCTGTAGAAAATGGTGGAAAAACTGGAAGAGTGTAAAACTTCAACGTACGAAATGCGACGACCATTTGGCAGAATGACGAAATTAGCCTGCTTAAAAAATTGTCATAAGATTTAGGCCACTAAGGTATTTCACACTCCAATAACAATTGTTACGAACTTTCTATATGGAAAACTGTATGATTCATGCATATAATGTCTTTCTCAGAGATTAGATTTTATATGCGTGGCAACCCCCTAAAACATATGCTTAGTTTGGCATAAGCATTCCCTTATTTTGTACACGTCGGTATTTGTTTCATGGTATAAGAGCAAAAACAAATGTGGGCTCGAAATAGTAACAGACAAAAAGTACAAAGGTACAATAGCGTGTTAAAACACTAGTTGAAACATCAATACTATTAGTAAAGTACGCTGAGTATTGCTAATCCGAGATGGCTGCGACAAAGAATATTTTGGATTTTAGATTCTTCCAAATTTTGGAATACATGATATGGTGGAGTTGAAGAGAACTGAGAAACAAATTCAGGTAATCGATGAAGAAACTCCGTAAATGGTCAGAAAATTCAGGAATATAAACTACTGAAACCATTTTACAATTTTTCTCACCCAAATTCTCCATTTGGACTCATGATAATAAACAATAATAATTAATAAATCTATTTATGGCCCAAAACAGTGAATTTTTATCCCAAAGAACTGCCTGCTGAGTGAGTGACGTTACGGATGTTCGAGAAAGCGGCGCAGCAGCTAATTACAAATCTGAAGAAAAAGAAACTCATTTATTTCACTAATTGAAACGCCCGCGTTTCGATGCAGTATAACAGAAAGACACTCGTGCATTGCTCAAACGGTTATAACGCCATCATTTTGGACACAGCCATAACTGTTCGAAAAATTTTTGTCATCGGCGATTTAAGTAGACCAACTATAAATGGTTGGCTCAGTCTAACTCCCAACTAAGGACGAAACAACAAACATAGAAGTAATAATGTTATTAAACTGTATGCTGATAACATAACGTCAGCTAATTCCGTTCCAAAAAATATAAACAGGCTCTTACAATATTAGCAGATTAATAAAGGGAAGGTGATAACCCAGAAAAAACTTAATAGTTGAAGCTTTCAGAACCCACAATGGTGCTTCGTTTTCTGCATAAATCAATAATGCACAGAGAAGATATCGTAGTCACCGATATCTAAGACCATTAGGTGTACGATTTAAGCACAGAAATAAAAAATGTTAGGTAAACAAAGAAAAAAGTTGAGAAAATAATAGGAATAAAAAATCAATGAAAAAAGGCAGAGATAAACAAAAATTAAATACACGAAATGAGGTTCGACAGATATACATGCCAAGGCATTTTTTCATGAAAAAATGTTCAAACGTCTAAAAAAACATATAGTTAGGCTTCGAGCAAGGATATTAAGAACATTCGACTTCTGTTAATTACGCCATCGACAGCCCACGCCGTGAAGACGTGAAAATCTTCAACCTTGGTCATTGTCGGTCTCATGATATGCTAATCCATCTTCGTTAAAGTTGCATTTGGTGCAAACCGTAAAAGACGAACAAAATCTTAAAGATCCTTCATCTACTTGGAAACTCGTTCCCCAATAATTCAGTTTTTACGATCTAATCGTTTCATTTATCTTTTTGCCTATCTCTACTTTCATTCATCCTTTCACTGCTTTCATCTTTCGCTCTTTTTTGTCTAATATTTCTTCTTACAAGGCTTTTGTTATATACCTACCAATTTTATGGCTAAAGATATATCATCCGTACTTCATTAACTTGTGCTAAAGAAAAAACGCCGAAGTGGCTTCTGAAAACTTCGTTTTTAAAATAACATCTTTTTTTGCAGTTTCAGTTAATTTAAACGGTCAAACTTTCTGATAATTTGAAATAACAATATACAGTACGTTAGACTGCATAATATAGCCCAAAAATGGACTAACATGAACATTTAGTCGAGTCAACATCAAGTTTCAGACAATTTCTCGGGCCTTCTTCGAGTTAACGCTGATAAGAGACTTCTCAGCAGTGCTAATGCTTTAGACCTTTGTCGGCACAAGGTACGACGAGGCATGTCCAATCGTCGAAGAGCCGGTATCCTTTGCCACGGTTGATACAGTCGTAGGAATGGATGAATAAAATTCGTTGACGAGCTTATTTAACCATTTTCATTCAGAAATGACGTCGGTCCGCCTGTGCATTGCACTACGCCTGACTTTCATATGATAGGATCGAAAATTCATTTCTTCATTGGATAGAAGTGGCGTTCATATATATTTTTAGCTTGAAAACTGGGTTCTTTCACAACACCGTCTTCGGTTTCTTCAAAATCTAATACTACCCGTAGTTGAATGACAATTTTAAACCCAGCCTAGAGAAGCTTTGCTACCAAAATTTCAAAGTTAACTTTTTCCTGAAGGTTTAATAATAGGGGAGAATTAAATACGGTCTGTTCCTAAAACTACACTATTGATTTTGCGGTTCGGGTTAGGGCATATTATTCTACGGATATGTTGCTACCAAATTCATTTGGATAGATACAATTATCGTTACATAGCATTAGATCAAGTACTAATATTATGTGATATAAAAATGAAATACAACTAATGTGCAACAATAGCAAGATGCTTAAACCTGAAAAAGACTAACATGAATTCAACGAAAATATTGCGTTGCACACCGTGTTCAAAGTAAATTCCGTTTAAAGCGTTTAATCGCCAAACCAACGATAGAAAATTTTTCGAATCTGACTTTCAGTGTCACTTATTAAGAATAATTCATTAGTGCATGGAGTATGTTATATGTAAAAGCAGTTTATTATGTGAAGTATTCTGAAGAACCACTTCCTCTTTTTCAGATATCATTAAACTAATCAGGCAAAACTAATGAGCTCACCGCACTTCAGATAACGCTAGTAAATTTTCAAGAACAAGTCATTAACATGATCAGGATAACAATGCAGTTGAAAACGAAACAGTGACAAAGCAGGCGACGATGATTATGACAAGAATGACTTATGGGTATGCTGTAGAATAAATCGAACATAAGAAATACAGGAAATACAGCGTAATTCTTGCAAAAGGCAAGGTAAAGGTATCCGAATATCTGAAAGCCATTGAAAATCAATTTCATCTGTGATAATCTGTGAAGGGGAGGGGAAAAACTGTAGGTAATTATTGTTTCATAAAGTATGAGGCATAATAAATGAATATCTTGTTTTCTCCAAGCGATGAATAGAGGGAGGTAGCTTTTAAACCGTCTGTCTAATTTGTGATATAAGAGAATGTTACTTTTTACCAAGAACTGCCACATACGACATCAGGCATTCCATTAGTCTATGCAGCGATTAGTTCGACTACCATTTTGGTTGCAATGGAGACCATTAAACCTATTATACTAAATGAAGCGAATGAACTCCACCATGCTGTAGTATTCTGTATGTCATATTCCCTTGCATAAAATATCGGCCGGTAGGATTCTAGCTAAAAAACAAAATTTTGCTGTCACAAATGGGATAGGTGGATCAAAGGCCACCGTCCTCCATTCAGCCACAGTAAACAACATGGAGTGAATGTATTATGCCTCATGCATTACAGAACAATAGGTATGTAAATCATGCTGCAGCTCGTATCAGTCATCCTCATTTCAGGTAATCTACTTTTGAGCATCAGAAGAAATCAGATTTGCATATAATCCGTTCATAACGCCTTTCACAGTCAGGTTAAAGCCTGCCATAACTTCGCCAGTGCATGAGACGTCGTAAGATTGCCACTGGTCGCAACATGCATGGAGCGATAAGTGAAACTAGATGATGGATTTTCCTGGGCGTGAATAGATAAAAAGGTTTAATCCATATCAACAAGTTCAACATACCACCTCATTGGACAATGAGTAAAGCATTAGACCTATTGTCAGAGCGAATCATGTTGTGGCGCATTCACCTCAATCATGCACGAAATGTTGTCGTAAGTCACAAACTTACGCAACACCTAAGTGGTGGCGTAGTGGCAGTACAAGAAAATCCAAGCATGAAAATCTCCTTTGTACTAGGGTATAATGCGCATAAAAATCGAGAAGGAATCGAGGGCTAACGGCCATTTTTATCGTAGAGGAAAGAACACGAAAATAAAACAAGTTCACCATCTTTCACAACTGTACGTTGTTAGATTTAACTTGGAGAAACAATGGTGAATGTCTTCAAGACATAGCACTACTACGTTCGCGCACCATCATCAGAAAATGAACCATACTATAGACATCGCTGAAGCATGAGGAACAGAGAAAAAGAAAAAGTTGAAATTCAG